TTTTTTTTTTTTTTAAGAGACAGAGTCTCACTCTGTTGCCCTTGGTAGAGTGCTGTGGCATTAACAGCTCACAGCAACCTCCAGCTTCTCTGCTTGGGCGATTCTCTTGCCTCAGTCTCCCAAGTAGCTGTGACTACAGGTGCCTGCCACAACGCCCAGCTAAAAAATTTTTTAAAAGGAGAGAGAAAGAACTGTTTAGCAGTTCCTAATAAAGCCAAATGTAAGGTGACTTCCTGTGTAATATGCCTAGCATAAGTGGATACGTTTTTCTATCACAAAAATATATGTAGTGTAAAAACGTTAATTATTCATAATAGCTCAGAACTAGAAATAACCCGGTTGTAGAATGGATAATTACATTGAGGCATACTTATGTAATAGAATATAGCAGCCATGAGAAAGAATGAACTTTTGATAACTGCAGCAGTGAGATGAATCTTAATAGATTGTCTTACTGAACAAAAGAAGCCAACCACTCTCTAAAAGAGAACCTTTATGATTCCACTTATATGATGTTCAAAAAGGCTAAATTAGTCTTTCATGATAGGTATCAGAATAGCAATTACCTTTCAGGATATTGGAAATATTCTGTATCTTGATTGGGATTGGTGGTCACATGTGTGAATTAGTATGTAAAATGTGACAGGGGTGTATACTTAAAATATACACAGACTTACTAGATATGTTAGGTATACCTTGGTAGAAAGGTAGAAAATAAAGAAGACATCAAGATTGTTCCCTTTTCATATGGAAGTAAAACTCAACAGAAATCAAGTGGGAGAGAGGAGAGGATGGGTATATTCACACCTAACAGGTACAGTGCATGCTTTCTGGGTGCAGGGCACACTTAACAACTTTTTTTTTTTGTAGAGACAGTCTCACTTTATCGCCCTTGGTAGAGTGCTGTGGTGCCACAGCTCACAGCAGCCTCCCAACTCCTGGGCTTTCGGTGATTCTCTTGCCTCAGCTTCCCAAGTAGCTGGGACTACAGGTGCCTGCCATGACGCCCAGCTATTTTTTTTGTTGCAGTTTGGCTGGGGCAGGGTTTGAACCCACCACCCTCGGTATATGGGGCCGCACCCTACTCACTGAGCCACAGGTGCCGCCCACACACTTACAACTTTGTCTTAAAATGTACAAAAGCAAATTTTGTAACCAAATGTGTGTACCCTTTAATAATCTGAAATAAAAAGATTGGTCTCTTTAACTCTTATACCTTATGCTTCAGCTCCAGCTCTTTTGACATGGTGGTCTAAGCCCTATAATTGATGAACCCCCCTCTTCTTTATTCTTTTTTCTTTTTCTTTGAGACAGTCTCACTTTGTCGCCCTCATTAGAATGCCGTAGTGTCATAGCTC